TTACGAGGAAGGGAGTAAAGCCTAATGATAAAACATTACCCGTGGTATTGCTTTCATAAAACGCATCGTCTTTGGCCAAAGTACCCAAAATTCAACTTGGAACAAAGAATATACACGATGGATATAAGCAGGGGGACAACCACAAACCGTAAATCGCCCCGCATTTGAGCTTTTCCATGGCAGAACATGAGGCGCAAGATTCCGAATTTCGACAATTGGTGCCCAAAAAAGCTTTTAGTGGCTTGGTTACTAAAGTGTGTTCTCAACTCATTGGAAATCGATTTGCATTGCCATCATTAATATAAAAAAAATCCAACTAAAAAGGTTGATGGGTCCAATCTACAGGGTTTATGTGCAGAATTGAATGGAAAGAAAGGGAAACAGGAAAAAAGATTTCCTTGGAATTTCCATTTCAATCCATTTGCTTGATATTTGAAAAAAAAAAAAAGTTTAGAACTTTATCAATATACAAGGTTGTTTAGATTAATTATTTAAATATAGTTAATAATTAATCATTAATATTTAATGACTAATAATCCTTGTTATTTATAATTCATAATATCTAATTTGTTTGATTAGAGATAACAATAGATAGCTATTTAAAAAAAGTCAAAACAAACACACCCTACTGAAACCCTCCTCCTTCTTGTTTCCAATCTTTTCTTCCATTTTCTCCTTTTGATTCTTTGTTTTTCTCTTCTTTTATCATGATTTTATTTTATCTTTTTAGGTGTTTTTCTGGCAATAGTTCTTGTCTTATCCCTTTAAGGTTGACTTACGCGAGAATTCATTGTTCTGGACATAATCTATGTGGGATTTATTATTGTTTGATATCCTTCTCACTAAAGGTTTAAAGCATAATAAGTAATTGGTATGAGTTATGTTTCATTATAATGTTTTTAGCAATGACTTATCTCAATAATTAACTTCTTATTTTTTAGTGTTGTGGATTATGCTGACTTGCATCTTCATTGTTAAATCAAAAACTGAATTTGACTATAATATCCATATATCTATTTGATTGCTTTAATATTATCATATGGTTAATGAAGTGTTTTTGCATTTTTGGGTTAGGTTTTGTAATACTTTTAGTGTGTATGCTACATCGTATAAGTTAATTTTAACCCTTTTTAAGTTTTTTTTTTTTTTCGATGTAACCCTTTTTAAGTTTTGATTATTAATAAATGAATTTATTTTTATTATATATATATAAAGAGAGAGAAGGGATCTATTGACATACAAGTCTTATATATTACACTTAATTATATAAAATTTCAACCATTAATTTTTTCACTTTCAATTATTGAGATTTATTCACATTTATTAAAAATAATTATTTTTTAACTAAAAAATTGTGATAAATCTCAACCATTGAAAATAAAAAAATAAATTATTGAGATTTTATATAAATATGATATATAAAACTTTTGTGTAAATAGATCCTTTCTTTCTCTATATATATCAGTACAGATTCATTTACATACTAGTCTCACATCACACTTAAATAAAATCTTAATTATTTATCTCTCCACTTTCAATGGTTAAAATTTATTTATTTTTTATCATATTTATTAAATATAATTATATTTTTTACCTAAAAAATCATGATAAATCTTAATCATTGAAATGAAGAGATTGAATTATTGAGATTTTGTATAAATATAATGTATAAAATTTATGTGTAAGTAGATATTTTCTCATATATAGTGGGTATGATTTATATATATATAAATGAATCCATTTATATACAAGTCTTACCCATCACACTTATACAAAATCCCAATAATTTATCACTTCACTCTTAATGATCAAAATTTATCATGAGTTTTAGGTGAAAAAATAATTATCTATAATAAAAAGTGAATAAATTTTAATTATTGAACGTGAAAAGATGAATGATTAAAATTTTATATAAGTATAATATGTAAAACTTATACGTAAATAAATCTTTACTTATATATATACATGAGTAACATTTATATGTAAGTGAATATCTCTTTTATATATGTGTATAACATTTCGATGGGTCTAATTGAATTTTATCATTTTATTTAGTGACTATGCAAAACTATTTTTATTTTGTTTAGATAAAAAAAACACATATAATATAATTTAAATTGTATTAAATTATAAAATAATTTTTTACTCAATAGATAAAATAAAAATAAAAACAAAGTCAATATTTATTTGAGTTTGAAGAACACCTATAAACTGTTAACTCTAAAACCTACGTCAAAACAGCAAATTTTAAACATCCCAAAGACAAGTTTTGGTTGTGTTGAAATCATTAGTCGGCTGCGTGCTACCCAAAAGAAAAATTACCATTACATCAATCTTTGCTTGTCTTAATAATTGAAGCATTATGAATCAAAACCCTAGAATGTCAATCAGGCATTTAACTGCATTTGACATTATTTCTGCAAAAAAGATAAGCAATTTCTTCTGGTTAAAGTCATCGCCTTTCAAGGTGCATTAAAAGGCGACAAGCGGAAAGTGAATTAGCAGGTTAGACAGGAGAACAAGAACGAGGAGCATTAAAAGCAATTTAAGCAATTTAATTAATTACTGACAAGATATGCTACTTCTAAGTAACGTTGTTGTGTTGAGTCAGACGGTCTGATCGAGGTTGAATGCTCCTTGTACTTCTTCTAGGTTTTTTTAATTCAGCACAAAGATTTTCATTTTTCAGTGTCAATGGCGGCAAGAAACAACATTGCTTGCTTCAGTCATAGTCAAAGCACTTACACCCATAAACTTTCACATTATCCATGGATTGCCCACATGCTCTGTTCTTTTTAACAACAACCGGTAAAAACAATGGGGAGGCTTCAAAAGTTGAAGAACAAGAATTTATTCATTATCTCTCTTTTTTTT